TGGCTAGGCACAGTGGCTCACACTGTAATCCCAGCACTTTGGGAGGCCGAGGTGGGGGGATAACCTGAGGTCAGGAGTTTGAGACCAGCATGGCCAACATGGTGAAATGCTGTCTCTACTAAAAAAAAAAAAAAAATTCGCTGGGCATGATGGCACATGCCTGTAATCTCAGTTACTTGGGAGGCTGAGGCTGGATAACTGTTTGAATCCGGGAGGCAGAGGTTTTAGTGGGCCAGGATCATGCCAAAAAAATGTCTAAGGCTGGGTCTGGTGGCTTACACCTGTAATCCCAGCACTTTAGGAGGCCAAGGCAGATGGGTCACTTGAGGCCAAGAGTTCACAACCAGCCTGGCCAATATGGTAAAATCCCGTCTCTACTAAAAATACAAAAATCAGCCAGGCATGGTGGCACACGCCTGCAATCCTAGCTAACTTGGGAGGCTAAGACAGGACAATCGCTTGAACCAGGGAGGCAGAGGTTGCAGGGAACTGAGATGGTGCCACCACACTCTAGCCTGGATGACAGACCAACACCCTGTCTTGGTGTCTCAAAAAAAAAGACACAGCCTGTAATGACACTTAGAGTTAGTAGGGTTTACTGTGTACATATTACTTCTTTTTTTTTTTTTTTTTTTTGAGACAGAGTCTGGCTCTGTCGCCCAGGCTGGAGCGCAGTGGCCGGATCTCGGCCCACTGCAAGCTCTGCCTCCCGGGTTTACGCCATTCTCCTGCCTCAGCCTCCCGAGTAGCTGGGACTACAGTTGCCCGCCACCTCGCCCGGCTAGTTTTTTTTTTTTTGTATTTTTTAGTAGAGACAGGGTTTCACTGTGTTAGCCAGGATGGTCTCGATCTCCTGACCTCGTGATCCGCCCGTCTCGGCCTCCCAAAGTGCTGGGATTACAGGCTTGAGCCACCGCGCCCGGCCATTACTTCTTAGGCATAGTGTAAGTACTTCACTTAATTATTCTATGTAAATTTTAACACTCCATTCCCACACCCGAATAAAGGTAGATATTGTTCAAACTTATTTTTAGAATAGGTAGTCCGGTTTCAAGAATGGGTCTTCAAATTTACAGCTGTCTGTTCCCAAATCATTGCACATTGAAATTCTTAACTCCAAGTAGCAAGTGAAGGAAAAAATGATCAACAGAACCAAATATGCTGTGGAAGTCTGAAGATAGGAAGGGATCGGTTAGGGCAATGGTGACCAAAAGATGCTTCAGGAAGGTGCAGTTTAAGCTAGACTCCCATGAACTGTAGGATTTGCAAAATATATGACGGAAATTTCTTCCCTGGCTTTTCTTCTTCAGAAAAATTCCTCTGGCTTCTAAGACCTGAGAAAGTGGGATTTGAGGATTTGAAGACCTCTTACCTTTATTGCCTTTGACAGACTTTTTTTCTTTGGTTCCCTTTGCTGATGTTCCTGGCAAAGCAATCATGTTTGGTTGATTAGAAGTTTGCTGATCCTCTTCCCTCGACTTCTCTGTGGAGGTCTACTGGGAACAGAGGAGCTGGTCAGTCATTCCTCCAGTGTCCAAACCACACATACACTACCTGCCTCAAGATAACTCACTTCTAAGGCACCAAGGCAGTCACTGGACTCCACTGGCAGTGTGGATTCTCCTCTGGGTATCATCTTAATACACACTGTCATGCAGGCCAGGCGTTGTGGCTCACGCCTGTAATCCAAGTGCTTTAGGAGGACAAGGCAAGAGGATCGCTTGAGTCCAGTAGTTGGATACCAGCCTGAGCAACAAGTGAAACCTTGCCTCTACAAAAAGGAAACAAGATCAGCTGAGCATGGTGGTACATGCCTGTAGCCCGAGCTACTCAAGAGACTGAGGTAGGAGAATCACTTGAGCCAGGGAGGTAGGTAGAGGCTGCATCGCTGCACTCCAACCTGGGTGACAGAATGAGACTGTCTCAAAAAAAAAAAAAAAAAAAAAGAAAGGCTCTTAACTCACCTACTGTATTCCATCATCTCTCACCTGAAGAATTTTTTTCCCCCAATCCTTCATTCTTGACCCCTTCCAAATAAATTATTTTCTAACACTGTTGGCAGAGTGACACATCCTTTCAGTGGTTTATTGCTCTCAGCATAAAAATAATTGTCTTTAACATTACCTACCAGACTCTTACCTTCTATTTCACACTGCTCTCCCTACCCAAGCTCCAGCCGCGTAATTCCTTTCCTTTCCAAAGTTGTTACACATTCCTCAGCCCCAACCTCCACCCTACTTCTGTTTACACTTTAAAATCTTATACCTTAAAAATCTTCCTCTTTTAAGTGTTATTTAACCTGGGAAAGGAGGGTCTAGTCCTTTCAGACAAATCTACTACATACTGTCTCATTTCTACTACTTGTTAATTGCAATTAAATTTGTTTGTGTGATTTGATTAATGATTGACACTCCTCTTGACTATAAGCTCCATGAGGATAGCATTTCTTTCCTTTTCATCATAGGCACTCATAAATATTGGTTAATTGAATCAAAGGAAGCAAAGTGGGAGTGGAGAAAAGTTGTTTAATCCAGAGACAGTAAGATATATTGATCCCCTGTCTCATACCAGGCATTCGCTTTGATATGTTCCTTATTTTCATTCTTTTTTAAAAAATATTTATTTATTAGCCGGGCGCGGTGGCTCAAGCTTGTAATCCCAGCACTTTGGGAGGCCGAGACGGGCGGATCACGAGGTCAGGAGATCGAGACCATCCTGGCTAACACGGTGAAACCCCGTCTCTACTTAAAAAAATACAAAAAAACTAGCCGGGCGAGGTGGCGGACGCCTGTAGTCCCAGCTACTCGAGAGGCTGAGGCAGGAGAATGGCGTGAACCCGGGAGGCGGAGCTTTCAGTGAGCTGAGATCCGGCCACTGCACTCCAGCCTGGGCGACAGAGCGAGACTCCGTCTCAAAAAAAATAAATCATTTATTAAAGAAAAGGGCTTGCTCTTTCACCCAGGCTGGAATGCAGTGGCAGGACGGTAACTCACTCCAATCTCTACCTCCTCAAGTGATCCTTTGCCTCAGTCTCCTGAGTAGCTGGGACTACAGGTACCACCACGCCTGGCTAATGTTTCGTAGAGATGAGGTGTTGGGATTAAAGGCGTGAGCCACAGCGCCCAAGGGCTCCCTATATTCTTTTTATTTGAGAGGAGTCTCGCTCTGTCGTCCAGGCTGGAGCGCAGTGGCACAATCTCAGCTCACTGCAACCTCCACCTCCCGGGTTCAAGCAGTTCTCTGCCTCAGCCTCCCGACTAGCTGGAATTACTGGCGCTCGCCATGACGCCCAGCTGGTTTTCGTGGTTTCACCATGCTGGCCAGGCTGGTCTCAAACTCCTGGCCTCAAGTGATCCGCCCACCTCGGCCTCCCAAAGTGCTGGGATTACAGGCATGGGCCACTGTGCCTGGTCTTGGCCCTCCTTATTTTCATTCATTTAATTCTCATAGCAATCTGGCAACAATTTACTTCTCAGACACAGAAGCTGAGGATCAGAGGTAACATAAAGACACACAGATTAAGAGTACGTTAGATATAAATTAAAATTTAAATATCAAGGCTGGGCTCCGTGGCTCACGCCTGTAATCCCAGCACTTTGGGGAGGCCGAGGTGGGCTAATGGAGGTCAGGAGTTCGAGACCAGCCTGGTCAACATATCGAAACTCAATCACTACCAAAAATACCAAAACTACCTGGGCGTGGTGGTGCGCGCCTGCAGTCCCAGGCTGAGTCAGGAGAATCGCTTGAACCGGGAGGCAGAGGCTGCAGTGAGCCAAGATCGGCTACTGCACTCCAGCCTGGGCGACAGAGTGAAACTCGATTCATTAAAAAAAATAATAATCTCAATTACTTCTTCCTACCACCCTTTTCTCCTGTTACCATTTCCCTCTAGCCCCGATATTCGGTTAATTCTTTCTGACAGGACAAAGCACCTCTTCAAAACAGAAAAACCGGCGGGCAGCAGCGGCGCGCGCCTGTGGTCCCAGCAGCACTTTGGAAGGCCGAGGTGGGAGGATCGCTTGAGCCTGGGAGGTCGAGGTTGCAGTGAGCAGTGATGGTGCCACTGCACTCCAGCCCGGGAGACAAAGTGAGAGACCCTGTTCCAAAACTAACCTGAAAGCCTGATTTTTTAACTTTTTCTTTTGGGATGGAGTTTCGCTCTTGTTGCCCAAGCTGGGGGTGCAATGGCGCCTTCTCGGCAAACCACAACCTCCGCCTCCCGGGTTCAAGCGATTCTCCTGCTTCAGCCTCCCGAGTAGCTGGGATTACAGGTGTGCGCCACCACACCCAGCTAATTTTGTATTTTTAGTAGAGACGGGGTTTCTCCATGGTGGTCAGGCTGGTCTCGAACTCCCGACCTCAGGTGATCCGTCCGCCTCGGCCGCCCAAAGTGCTGGGATTACAGGCGTGAGCCACCGCGCCCGGCCTCTTTCTTTCCCCCTATCTTTTGACACCCTCAACCTCCTCAACTAACCCTAGAAAACCTCATTTCTTGTCTCCTCACTCCAATATACCAGGCTGCAATCATGTTCTTGGGCTTTACTCTTAAAAAAAAAAAAAAAAAAGTCAAGAGGAGAAAATTCGAAGGCGCATTCTTTTCTCCTCAATAGAAAAATCAAGAGTGCCCAGGGAAGACAGAAACACGAAGACGAAGACAGAAAACAAATCCACTAAAACTGTACTGACCTCCTTGCCTTTTGCCTTCTCCATACTTGTAGAAGCGGAGCCTCGCAAATGCTTCCAAAATGGCCCCAGCCCTAAGATTGCTGTTTGCAAAGTCTCCTCCCACTTCCTGCCGCCCGAAGACCCTTTTTCTCCCCTCCTCACCTCTTATTTTCTTCTCCCCGTCTGTTCCCTCCCCCACAATTTGTAAATGCTAAAATTGCATTCTTTCTTATTCATGGGGTGACCTTTGTCTGGGTTGAATTACTAATACCATTCCTGGCCCTTTTCTGTGCACTTTAAATGTAATTATCCAAAGTATGGTTCCGGAGACTTTGGGAGATTCAGGACTCCTTCAGAACGATTCTACAGAGAGAGAAAAAAAAAATGTGGCCAGAGACTTGAGCAGGATGTGTGAAGGGATTTAATAATGGGACTTGTGTAAACAGTAGACTTCAGGGACCAGACTGGCGGCTTGAAGAAAGCTATTTTCTCGTACCAAATACATTCCATTTCCTAAGTTACTCACTCAACTAAAATTCCAGGTTTCTCTGTACTAATACCCAGCATCATTTCATCTGCCAACGAACTAATAATAGTAGCTCTTAAAGTCTATAGAATATTTGTTATTTATTTATTTTGTAGAGGGCAAGTTGGGTGTGGGTGGGGATCTCGCTATTTTGACCAGGCTGGTCTCGAACTCCTGCCCTCAAGTGATTCTCCAGCCTTGTCCTCCCAAAGTGTTGGGATTACAGGCGTGAGCCACCACTCCCAGCCCAAGTATTTTTTTATATCTCAAATTGAGGGTTTAAAACTCAGTCATTATTGTTCCCCATTTTATATATGACTAAAGTTTGGTATAAAATTTTATTGGTAACTTTTCCAATAGCACAGTAAGTGAACCCCTAACCTACTGACTCCCAAAGAAGTTCAAGTTTTTCTCCTTAAAATAATTTGAAAAATCCTTCCTCAGATCAATGTTCCCTGTCAGGTTGTCAAGAGATGTGAAGTGAAGGAAGCAGTGGCTGTGCGACTGAAACCCTCCCTTGTCAGGGTCCAAAGTCTCCTTCGTTCTTTGGTTTACTTTGTTGTATTTTTTTCGCTTGTCCTAAAATGATAAATAAGAGACCATCTTTAATCCAAATGGTGTTAGTAATCTGCTCACAGGCTAGAAATCCACGGACAGAGAAAGTAAGTAAACGGAGCCTAGGAATGGAGAAGGAAGTGCAGGTTGTGGACTGGGCAACCCCCAAGGTGGCAAAGAGGAAACCAGGTGAGTTGAGGTCATCTGGGAGATATTAGGGCTTTGATTTAACAATTCTTTACTACAGCCTTTGATAACCACCAGTATGACTTACTAGTTAAGGTTTGTGTATAGAGTGTATAATTGAATCATCTTTCTTTTCTCAGTGTAATTGAATGTAACATTCAGAATAATTGGAGTTCTGGGCTGGGCGTGGTGGCTCACTCTGTAATCCCAGCACTTTGGGCGGCTGAGGTGGGCAAGTCACTTGAGTTCAGGAGTTTGAGACCAGCCTGGCCAACAATGCAGAACCCCTTCTCTACTAAAAATACAAAAATTAGCCGGGCATGGTGGTGCGTGCCTGTAATCCCAGCTATTGAGGAGGCTGAGGCAGGAGAATTGCTTGAGCCGGAGAGGCAGAGGTTGCAGTGAGTCGAGATGGTGCCCCCACACTCCAGCTTGGGTGACAGAGGGACACTCCGTCTCAAAACAAACAAACAAACAGAATAATTGGAGTTCTGAATTAAATATAAACTGAGGCACTGAAACATCTAATTCTGGGCAAGGTACAAACTAATTTGGTATGAACAGATGGATTGTATACTGGGATTAATCATTTATAAATTATTGGGTCCACTACTATTTCTGGGAACACAATTCTAAAAGAATTGCACCAACCATTTAAAACATGGGTTAGCTGACATCCTATACATAAAATAAATTAGTACAATTTAATTTAAAATGTTTGGAAATAATATTACTGAGTTCTGGAAATAAGCAAAAAGCCAAATATGGTCGGCTCCTGCCTGTAATCTCAGCATTTAGGGGGGCTGAGGTAGAAGGATTGCCAGAACCCGGGAGTTTAAGACCAGCCTGGGCAATTTAGTGAAATCCTGTCTCTACAAAAAATAGAAAAAGAAATTAGCTGGGTGTGGTGGCACGTGCCTGTAGTTCCATCAGGAGGCTAAGGTAGGAGGATCACTTGAACCCAGGAATTTGAGACTGCAGTGAGCTGTGATCATGCCACTGTACCCTAGCCTGGGCAATAGAGCCAGACCCTGTCCCCTCTCCTCATGAAAAAGAAAAAAAAAAAAAAAAAGTCAAATATCTTTTTGTCAGGTTTGTTGGAGTTGTAATTTATAGGCAGTTTGGAGCAGAGTACAACCTATTTGTGCATTGGTTTCTCAAATGTAAAGTAGGAATAACTGCAAGTTTATTGTGTTTTCTGAGAAATAACTAATTTTGTGTGTAAAATTTCCTACAAATATTTGGTAGTCAAAAGAAAAACTTTACTGCTATTTTTAATGTTATAATTCCAGTGCCTACACTTCTATTTTGGGATTTCAAAAAGTATTCATAATTGAACAACCGAATCTCCCATTCACTTATTGAATAAAAATGTATTAAGTGCTTTTTTTTATTTTTTTTTTCCGAGAGGAAGTCTCACTTTGTCACCCAGGCTGGAGTGCAGCCTCCACCTCCTGTATTTAAGCGATTCTCATGCCTCAGCCTCCAGAGTAGCTGGGACAACTGGCTCATGCCACCACACCCATCTAATTTTTGTATTTTTAGTGGAGATGGGGTTTCCCCATGTTAACCAAGCACTTGAACTCCTGGCCTCAGATGTTCCGTCTGCCTCAGCCTCCCAAAGTGCTGGGATTACAGGCATGAGCCACCACGCCCGGCTCACATGCTTTCAAAATATATTTTATTTATATGTATAATCAAAACAAATGCAAACTGTTCAATTATGACCCTTGCAAAGCAGGATAATTCCCTGTGTATGACAGCCTACAATAGAGGTTTTTATTTTGTTTTGTTTATAGAGATGAGATCTCACTGTTGCCCAGGCTGGTCTCAAATCCCTAGGTTTAAGTGAGCCTCCCTCCTTGGCCTCCCAAAGTTCTTGTATTATAGGCATGAGCCCCTTGCCCTGCCCTGCAACAGGGGTTTTGAAGTCAGAAAAGTATCAGATCTAGAGGAGGTGGGGAACTGAACTAATGAATAGGGGAAGGGAAGGATGAGCTCTGGGAAGAAGGCACCCCACTCCTGAGACAGCTCAGCATGGTCAGGGACTGAAAGAAGAGCAGTGGGGCTGGAGCTCAGAGAGGGAGGGGTTAAGTGTGAGCTGAGTGGGATAGGTAGGCCTTCTGATCTTTAGGTTGAGGACCACGGGGAAGCTACTGAAATATTCAAGGTGTGGGTAAGGATGGGCTGACTCTGATGAGCATTTTGTAAAGCCCTTTCAACTTCAATGAGAAAGAAGTGGGGATGATCAGAGACAGCACAGATGTGAGTTAGGAGGCTACTGAGCAGCCTTGAGACTGGAGAGGAAGTATGGACTGTGTTTAAGAGCACAGACCCCAGGGCCAGGCATGGTGGCTCACGCCTGTAATCCCAGCACTTTGGGAGGCCAAGGCAGGTGGATCACGAGGTCAGGGGTTCAAGACCAGCCTGGCCCATATGGTGAAGCCCCGTCTCTACTAAAAACACAAAAATTAGCTGGGCGTGGTGGCACATGTCTGTAATCCCAGCTACTCGGGAGGCTGAGGCAAGAGAATTGCTTGAGCCCAGGAGGCGGAGGTTACAGTGAGCAGAGATTGCGCCATTGTACTCCAGCCTGGGCGACAGTGTGAGACTCCATCTCAAAATAAAAAATAAAAATAAAACATAGCCGGGCGCAGTGGCTCACGCCTGTAATCCCAGCACTTTGAGAGGCCGAGGCGCGCGGATCACGAGGTCAGGAGATTGAGGCCATCCTGGCTAACACGGTGAAACCCCCCCGTCTCTGTTAAAAATACAAAAAATTAGTCGGGCGTGGTAGTGGGCGCCTGTAGTCCCAGCTACTTGGGAGGCTGAGGCAGGAGAATGGCATGAATCCGGGAGGCGGGGTTTGTAGTGAGCCGAGATCCGGCCACTGCACTCCAGCCTGGGCAACAGAGCGAGACTCTATCTCAAAAAAATAAAAATAAAAATAAGAAATAAAACATAAAAGCACAGACACCAAATCCAGGCCAGACTGACTGATTTTTAAATGTAAGGCTTTAGCAGCTAGCCAGACAGGATTTAAACCCCAATCTCCCCTTCACTAGCTGTGTGAACTGGGCAATAACTTTAAGTCTCTTTCTTTTCTCATCTGTAAAATGAGGCTGATGAAAATAATAGCTTTTACTTAGAGGGTTGTGGGCGTGTCTGGAGAACGCAGTGTCTGGCACAGCACATGTTGGGATCAGAAGAGCGGGGCGGCGTGGTAGCTCTGGTGGCTTATGTCAGTAATCCCGGCACTTTGGGAGGGAGGAGAATCGCTTGAGCTCAGGCAATATAGTGAAACCCCATTTCTACCAAAAATACAAAACTTACCAGGCGTGGTGGCGCACGCACGGGTGCCAGCTCCTCCAGAGGCTGAAGTGGGAGTATGGCTTGAGTCCAAGAGGTGGAGTCTGCAGTGAGCGGAGATCATGCCACTGTACTCCAGTCTGGGTGACATAGTGAGACCCTGTTTCAAAAAAAAAAGGACCAAAAAAAAGAGAGAGAGAGAGAGAAATTTGGAGAGGAATGAATTTGAGAGATGTAGGGGTATTGTGGCTGGGTTTTCTTTCATTTTTCCTTTTCCTTATTTTTATTTTTATTTTTAAGAGGTCTCCCTATATTGCCCAGGCTGGTCCCAGGTGAAACTGCTTGTCCCAGGCGAAACTCCTGGTCTCACGTGATCCTCCCGCTTTAGCCTCCTGAGTAGCTGGGATTAAAGGCCAACACCCCTAAACCCAGCTTTTTCGTTTTGCTTTTTTTCTTGTAAAAAAAGTTTTAATTGGCCAGGCGCGGTGGCTCAAGCCTGTAATCCCAGCACTTTGGGAGGCCGAGACGGGTGGATCACGAGGTCATGAGATCGAGACCATCCTGGCTAACACGGTGAAACACCATCTCTACTAAAAAATACAAAAAACTAGCCGGTCGAGGTGAGAGGCTCCTGTAGTCCCAGCTACTCGGGAGGCTGAGGCAGGAGAATGGCGTGAACCCAGGAGGCGGAGCTTGCAGTGAGCTGAGATCCGGCCACTGCACTCCAGCCTGGGCAACAGAGCGAGACTCCGTCTCAAAAAAAAAAAAAAAGTTTTAATTGAATAAAATGAGCTGAATTAATGAGTCCTTTAGTTTACCCAGAGGCAGTGAGTCTTCCAAAGTCATTAATCTGCATCTACAGAAAATAAACCAGCATTGATTCATATGTAACACTGTTTCCTGTCTGACCGAATGGAGAGAGGGGGCAGGAGGTGTGGCTGTGGGGAGGGAGGGAACCCTTGTCTGTATCTCTCTGCTGTGTATTCCAGAAGCACTGAGTCAAAAGCTGGGTTTATTTAATATTTATTAAATATTAGAGTTCACCAATTGATAACAGTGCATGAAAATACCTCTTTTCCCATGTCCAAGAGACTAGTATTTTAACAAGTACACTAGAACTTGACACACCTAATTTATAATAATTCCACCTTGTAGTATCTCCTATAGTGGATAATCATTGCTGTTTTAGTGGTAATTTTACTTTAGGAAATAGGTGAGTCAGTTAAAATTAAATTTAGGGAGTAAGACCATGAGGTTAGTTAGTAACTTTTGTTTGTTTGTTTGTTTGTTTGTTTTTTTGAGACAGAGTCTCGCTCTGTCGCCCGGGCTGGAGTGCAGTGGCCGGATCTCAGCTCACTGCAAGCTCCGCCTCCCGGGTTCACGCCATTCTCCTGCCTCAGCCTCCCGAGTAGCTGGAACTACAGGCGCCCACCACCGCGCCCGGCTAATTTTTTTTGTAGTTTTTTAGTAGAGACGGGGTTTCACCGTGTTAACCAGGATGGTCTCGATCTCCTGACCTCGTGATCCGCCCGTCTCGGCCTCCCAAAGTGCTGGGATTACAGGCTTGAGCCACCGCGCCCGGCCGTAACTTTTGTTTAAAAAGGGAAAAGTTGTAGATAGATGATAGAGCTGGTATCATCAAAAACAAGAAAACCCAAACTTATTTGTTTTTGTTTTTGTTTTTTGAGAAGGAGTCTGGCTCTGTCGCCCGGGCTGGAGTGCAGTGGCCAGATCTCAGCTCACTGCAAGCTCTGCCTTCCGGGTTTACGCCATTCTCCTGCCTCAGCCTCCCGAGTAGCTGGGAACACAGACGCCCGCCACCTCGCCCGGCTAGTTTTTTGTATTTTTTAGTAGAGACGGGGTTTCACTGTGTTAGCCAGGATGGTCTCGATCTCCTGACCTCGTGATCCGCCCGTCTCGGCCTCCCAAAGTGCTGGGATTACAGGCTTGAGCCACCGTGCCCGGCCAAACTTATTTGTTTATAAAGAATTTCCCTCCCTCCCTTCCTCCCTTCCTTCATATCTTATTTTTATTTATTTATTTATTTTTTTTTTTGAGACAGAGTCTCACTCTATACAGCCCAGGCTGGAGTGCAGTGGCGCGACCTCAGCTCACTGCAGCCTCTGCCTCCTGGGGTTAAGCGATTCTCGTGCCTCAGCTTCCCAAATAGCTGGGATTACAGGCGCCAGCCACCACGCCCGGCTAATATATATATTTTTTTAATGTTTTGAGACGGAGTTTCGCTCTTGTTGCTCATGCTGGAGTGCACTGGCAAGATACCGGCTCACCGTAACCTCCGCCTCCCTGGTTCAAGCGATTCTCCTGCTTCACCCTCCCAAGTAGCTGGGATTACAGGCATGCGCCACCACGCCCGGCTAATTTTTTGTATTTTTAGTAGAGACGGGGTTTCACTCTGTTAGCTAGGGTGGTCTCCATCTCCCGACCTCAAGTGACCCGCCCGCCTCAGCTTCCCAAAGTGCTGGGATTACAGGCGTGAGCCACCGCAGGCTCACGGTGAGGAGGTCAGGAGTTTGAGACCAGCCTGGCCGACATGGCAAAACTCCGTCTCAACTAAAAATACAAAAAAACAGCCGGGCGTGGTAGCACGTTCCTGGAATCCCAGCTACTCCGGAGGCTGAGGCAGGAGAATTGCTTGAACCTGGGAGGCGGAGTTGAGGTGAGCCAAGATCGCGCCATTGGACTCCAGCCTGGGGGACAGAGTGAGACTCCATTTAAAAAAAGGTGGCTTTGGTCCTTAATTACCATGAAAATGCCAGTAAACAGTATCATTGACTCAAATACTTGTTTTGTTTAGGCATCCTCTTTTTAAAAAATAAAATAAAATATTGGAGGTGGGTGGGTTGGTCTCCTTACATTCCTCAGGCTGGTCTCAAACTCCTGAACTCTAGGGATCAAAAGATCCTCCCGCTTTAGCCTTCTGAGTAGTTACAGGTGCGCACCACCACATCCTGTTTAGACATTTACTTTAAAGAACCGAACTTTCTAACCAGGGGACAGATTTACCGTGAAGCTAATTAAGTTTCAGGTCCTTTACTTGCACTGGCCCATTCCAAGCTGCTGTCAGGGCCCTGGCAAACTTGCATTCATAATTACATATATCTATTTTTTTCTTATAGAGGGACCACCAGAATTGTATAACCTTCAGACTCCACAGATCGGCTTCAGTGACAATGCTTACACTTTGAAATGTTCCTTTAAAACAGTAACACAGGCTGGGTGTGGTGGCTCACGCCTGTAATCCCAGGACTTTGGTTGGCCCAAGCAGGCGGATCACTTGAGGTCAGGAGTTTGAGACCAGCCTGGCTAACATGGTGAAACCCCGTCCCTACTAAAAATTCAAAAATTAGCCTGGCGTGGTGGCGCACACCTGTCATCTCTGCTACTCAGGAAGCCGGAGAATTGCTTGAACCTGGGAGGCAGAGATTGCGGTGAACTCAGATTGTGCAATACTCCAATCTAGGTGAAAGAGCCAGACTCCCTCTCAAAACAAAACAAAAAACAGTAATACATCCAGGAAATCCCCCTAATATGCTTTCCTTTTTCTTCCGCTACTAGTTCCACGCTCCCAACCCCCAATTAATTGTGCTCCAGCAGGATCATTTCTCGGTTATTAGGTTTTCACCTTTTTTTTTTTTTTTTTTGAGACGGAGTCTCGCTCTGTCGCCCAGGCTGGAGTGCAGTGGCGCAATCTCGGCTCACTGCAAGCTCCGCCTCCCGGGTTCACGCCATTCTCCGGCCTCAGCTTCCCGAGTAGCTGGGACTACAGGCGCCCGCCACTGCGCCCGGCTAATTTTTTTCTATTTTTAGTAGAGACGGGGTTTCACCATGGTCTCGATCTGCTGACCTTGTGATCCGCCCGCCTCGGCCTCCCAAAGTGCTGGGATTACAGGCGTGAGCCACCGCGCCCGGCCTAGGTTTTCACTTTTTAACTCTCTTCCTATGCTAAGTGCCAAATGAATTCTGTGTCCTAGGGCTATCACTAGAACATATGAAATTTTGTATACATTTAAAAAAAAATAACACTTTGGGGCTGACAAATTGCAAAAAGACTTAAGCGCACCAATTAGAAAAAAGTTACCACTTCCTCCAGGCTGTTGCAATTTGTGAGTGAGGTCACAGGGCTTGGCAAATGGCTCCTGAGCTTTAGTTCAGCCCAATTCTTGTCCTTTCTCAAGTGCCCCTCTCAGAGACTACAATCTGTACAACTACTGGGGCAGCCCTTTGTCTCTAGTTTCTTTCTTTCTTTCTTTCTTTCTTTCTTTCTTTCTTTCTTTCTTTTTTTTTTTTTTTTTGAGACAGTCTCGCCCTGTCGCCCAGGCTGGAGTGCAGTGGCGCGATCTCGGCTCACTGTAAACTCCGCCTCCCGGGTTCACGCCATTCTCCTGCCTCAGCCTCCGGAGTAGCTGGGATTACAGGCGCCTGCCACCACGCCAGGCTAATTTTTTGTATTTTTAGTAGAGACAGGGTTTCACCGTATTAGCCAGGATGCTCTCGATCTCCTGACCTCGTGATCTGCCCGCCTCGGCCTCCCAAAGTGCTGGGATTACAGGTGTGAGCCACCGCATCCAGCCATAAAATGGATTTTTAAAAAAGCATTTGAATCTGTTTAACAAACTTGAAATAAACTAGAGCCGGGCGCGGTGGCTCACGCCTGTAATCCCAGCACTTTGGGAGGCCGAGGCGGGCGGATCACGTGGTCAGGAGATCGAGACCATCCTGGCTAACACGGTGAAACCCTGTCTCTACTAAAAATACAAAAAAAAAAAAAAAAATTAGCCGGGTATGGTGGTGGGCACCTGTAGTCTCAGCTACTCAGGAGGCTGAGACAGGAGAATGGTGTGAACTGGGGAGGTGGAGCTTGCAGTGAGCTGAGATGGTGCCACTGCACTCCAGGCTGGGCAACAGAATGAGACTCCATCTCAAAAAAACAAACAAACAAAAAATCAATTTTATTATTGTTTTTAATTGACACACAGTAATTATACATATTTATGGGGTACATTGTGATATTTTCATACATGTGTACAACATGTAATGATCAAATCAGGGTAATTATTATAGTATATTTACTGCCTCAAACATTTATCATTTCTTTGTTTTTGTTTTTAGAGACAGGGTCTCCATCTGTTACCCAAGCTGAAGAGCAATGGGATGATCATAACTCACTGCAGCCTCAGACTCCTGGGCTCAAGTGATCCTCCCACCTCACCCTCCCAAGTAGCTGGACCTATAGACATGCACTGTCATGCCTGGGTAATTTTTCAATTTTTTGTGGAAATGAGGTCTCACTATCAGTTCAGGCAGGTCTGATTCCCGGCCTCACACTATCCTCCTGCCTCAGCCTCCCAAAGCGCTGGGATTATAGGAATGAATCACCACACCTGGCCCTTATCGTTTATTTAGGTTGCAAACATTCAAAATCCCCTCTTCCAGCTATTTAAAAATACATAATAAACTGTTGTTAATTATAGTCACCCTGCCCGGTGTGGTGTCCCTTGCCTGTCATCCTAGCACTTTGGGAGACTGAGGAGGGATAATATGATAAGAGCCCAGGAGTTTGAGATCAGCCTGGGCAAAATAGTGAGACTTGGAGTGCAGCGGCACAATCACAGCTCACTGCAGCCTAGGCTCAAGCGATCCTCCCACCTCAGCCTTCCAACTAGCTAGGACTCCAGGTGCATGCCCCGCTAATTTGTGTGCCCATTTTTAATTGTGATTTTTTTTTTCTCTTGAGTTTTTTGGGTCCTTGTATATTCTGGATATTAGTCCCTTTTTTTTTTTTTTTTTTTAAGATGGAGTCGCACTCTTGTTGCCCCGGCTGGAGTGCAATGGTGCGATCTTGGCTCACCACAACCTCCGCCTCCCGGATTCAAGCGATTCTCCTGCCTCAGCTTCCCGAGTAGCTGGGATTACAAGCGCCTGCCACCACACCCAGCTAATTTTGTATTTTTAATAGAGATGGGATTTCTCCAAGTTGGTCAGGCTGGTCTCGAACTCCTGACCTCAGGTGATTTGCCCACCTCGGCCTCCCAAGGTGCTGGGATTACACGCCAGAGCCACCACGCCTGGCCTATTTAGTCCCTTTTTTTGGATAAATTTTGGGTTGTTTCCTGTGCTTTTGAGATCCTATCCATAAAATCTTTGCCCAAACCAATGTCCTGAAGCAATTCTCTTATGTTTTCTTCCAGTAGTTTTATAATTTCAGTTTTTATATTTAAGCCTTCAATCTATTTAGAGTCAGTTTTTATATAGGGTGACAGATGGGGGTCTAGTGTCATTCTGCTGCATATGCATATCCAGTTTTCCCAGCACCATTTATCAAAGACTATCCATTCCCCAGTGTGTGTTCTTGGCACCTTTGTCAAAAGCCAACTGGCTATAAATATGTGGATTTATTTCAAGGTTATCTATTCTGTTCTGTTGTTCTATATCTGTTTTTATGCCAGACCATGCTGTTTTGGTTACTATAACTTTTATTTTCTTTTGTCTGACAGAGTCTTGCTCTATCACCCAGGCTGGGGTGCAATGGCAAGATCTCAGCTCACTGCAACTTTCACCTCCCAAGTTCAAGCAATTCTCCTGCCTCAGCCTCCTGAGTAGCTGGGATTACAGGTGTGCACCACCACACCTGGGTAATTTTTGTATTTTCAGTAGAGATGGGGTTTCACCATGTTGGTCAGCCTGGTCTTGAACTCCTGGCCTCCATTGGTCCGCCCACCTCAGCCTGCCAGAGTGCTGGGATTCCAGGTGTGACCTGCTGTACCCAGCCGACTATAGCTTTATTGTATATTTTGTTTATTTTATTTTATTTTATTTTTTTGAGACGGAGTCTTGCTCTCTTTGCTCACCCTGGAGGGCAGTGATGCCATCTTGGCTCGCTGCAACCTCCGCCTCCTGGGTTCAGGTGATTCTCCCACCTCAGCCTCCTGAGTAGCTGGGGCTACAGGTATGCGCAACCATGCCTGGCTAATTTTTGTATTTTTAGTAGAGATGGGCTTTCGCCATGTTGGCCAGGCAGGTCTTGTATGTTGATTTTGTATCCCACAATTTATTGAATTTGTGTATCAGCTCTAAGAGTTTTTTCGTGACATCTTTAGGTTTTTCCAAATATAAGATGATTTCCAAATCGTATATGGTTGAAAATTACAACAGTGCAATTTCCTTATTCCTGACAGTTTCCCCTCTCATTTCCAAATGATCTTGTATTTGACTGGGGCAGTTTGACTTCCTCCTTTCCAATTTGGATGCCCTTTAATTTTTTCTCTTGCCTAATTGCTCTAGCTAGGATTTCTTTATGTGCTTTAGAAGCCAAGATATATTACTGTGTATTTATCAACACTTAAGGAGATTCATCACTGTTGTAAAGGACATTGGTAAGTTTCCCAAAGTGTGTTTTTCACCAAGTCAACTTTTAGTGCCTGTAGATTGATTAGTGTTGATTTCCCAAGTCATCTGCTGGTACATTGCTGGGGAAGAGAGGCAGTTGTGAGACTGCAGGCCCTAATGAACTGATTTCAGTTGAAAACAGGCTGGCTCTGAACTATTCTTTGTGATCATAAGAACCCACTGAAATATAATGATCTACTTTGAAGTAAAGGAAGGAGCACACAAAGATTTAGATAAGATGCAGTGACTGAGATCATTTTTTCAGTTCCCTCAGTCAGCATCCTTACTTCCTTCTCCCCGTAAGCTAATGAATCTACCTCCTAAATGTTTCTCAGGGCTGATTCTTCGTTTTCATCCTCTAGTACTATCTGCGTTCAGGATCTCATTTCATCTCACCTGCATCACTGTGGTAGCTTCCTTATTGATGCTTTTGTCTTCATCTGGTCTCTCACTCCTTTCAAACCATCTTCCACATGAGCCTGGCTGTGGAAGGCTGTTCTGCCCATCTCTAGGGAACACAGCTCTGATGTGAATGGCACCCCCTGGAGTTCTTTCATTTCTTGTATCCCAACAACTCGGGGAACAGAAAACATGAGTACATGAGGCTTTTTTACATAGATAATCATCCCAAGGAATTTATGAGAGTTTCTAAAAGCAGGCTAATTTAATTCTGCAGAATGTTTGCATTTTTGCTCAAAAGCCTTAACTCTTGTTAAATATAATTCATTTTCCCGTGGCTTTAAATTTTACCCAGCTCTGAAATAAGGTGGCTTTTATGATAAGAATTGCTTTCCTCCTGAGCTTGAAGCACAGCCATGCATAGAACAGTAAGACTAACTTAAATGAGAATGATTACTAAATAACTGTGGCTTCAAAGAGAAGATAGGTAATAATACTTTGCATTCACACAAGCCTGCCTTTCATCTGAGTATCTCAAAGGAAAGCAAAATGTAGCTGATGTTGTGTTATGGTTGAAAATTACAACTGTGCAATTTCCTTATTCCTGTTTCCCCTCTCAAATATTATACCGAGTTAAAGCATCTCTAGAATTCAATGTGTATTGATTTTGAACACAGGCTTTTTCTCTCTTGTTTTCTACCCCTTTAACATCAACCGCAAGTTGCAAAGGCATCAGTGAACCACATGCTTTTGTGATTTTGAAGCATTTGCGGTCATTGGAGAAAAATACAATAATAAAGGATAGAAGAAGTTCTTACTCAGCTGTTCTAAACTTACGGTGGAAAAATGAAGAGATGAAGATAAAGACAGAATATTCTCTGCACCCCCAGAATCAATTCATTCATGGTACTAACAAACACTTCAAGAATGTGCCAGAGAACTGGCCTGATTCACTTTACTGAAACACAAGATTCACAAGGTATGCTTAGTGGTATAAATGGTAACTGTTTCCATTAAGGCCCTGAATTATAATACTGGGAATGTTCTGAATATTGATAGATCTAGAAATCCCAGAAGTGTATTGGTAGGGACCCTCTTTACATACTTCCTCTTGTGAGGTTGTAAACTTTTTTTTGGAGACAGGATTTCTCCAAGTTGGTCAGGCTGGTCTCGAACTCCCGACCTCAGGTGATCTGCCCACCTCAGTCTCCCAAAGTGCTGGGATTACAGCCGTGAGCCACTGCACCCAGCCCATAGATCTTTCATCTTTTACTAAAACTAAAGATTTTTTTTGGAGAGGAACAATTCCGAGTTCTTAACCTAATTTTTTTTTGAGGCCGTGCATTTGCAGGGCTACTAAAATATAAAATAAATAAGTAAAACAGGCATATCGTATCTCTTTATAGGCACATCTTTTTTTTTTTTTTTTTTTTGAGACAAGAATCTTGCTCTGTTGCCCAGGCTGGAGTGCAGTGGTAAGAGCTCGGTTCACTGCAACCTCCACCTCCCAGGTTCAAGCGATTCTCCAGCTTCAGCCTCCCAAGTAGCTGGGATTACAGGTGTGCACCACCACATCTGGCTAATTTTTGTATTTAGCCACTGCACCTGGCCAGCACATCCATTTTTGACCCTTAACATATGGAAAGTTAAACAACTAGCCTGTAAATCTTTAACTAGATAGGAAAAGAAAATTTTTTTTTGATGGTTCATCACTCACAGAAAAAAAATACCCAGACAAAAGGTAAATAATATGGTTTTTCCCCACCAAGGTGAATAAAATTATCAAGAAAAGTAACACCACAGCCTGCCACAAAGAGACCCAGGCTTCACATTCTCAAATAGCCTCACATTGAGATATTTAAAATTATCTCCAGGCTGGGCATGGTGGCTCATGCCTGTAATTCCAGCACTTTGCCATGCCCAGCTAATTTTTGTGTTTTTAGTAGAGATGGGATTTCACCATGTTGGCCAGGATGGTCTCAATCGTTTGACCTCATGATCCGCCTGCCTTGGCCTCCCAAAGTGCTGGAATTACAGGCGTGAGCCATCACTCCCGGCTGGGGTGCTCATTCTTTCTAGGCAAATGTTCACTAGTAACCAATTTATAATTGTAATTAAATAATTTAATTTGTTGCAGGGCACGGTGGCTCACGCCTGTAATCCCAGCACTTTGGGAGGCCAAGGCGGGCTGATCACAAGGTCAGGAGATTGAGAACATCCTGGCTAACATGGTGAAACCTCGTTTGTACTAAAAATAGAAAAAACAGCCTGGCGTGGTGGCGGGCGCCTGTAGTCCCAGCTACTCAGGAGGCTGAGGCGGGAGAATGATGTGAACCCCAGAGGCGGAGCTTGCAGTGAGCTGAGATTGAGCCACTACACTCCAGCCTGGGCGACAGAGCAAGACTCCATCTCAAAAAAAATAAAAAATATGGGCCGGGCGCAGTGGCTCAAGCCTGTAATCCCAGCAC